TACGTATAACATGAAGGATTCGTGCTCCAGGTGAAGCCCAATCTATAGGAGCATACGTAAAACACATGGGATTGGAGCCACTCCTGTTGCCTTCTGAGGCCTCCTGCTCCTGGGGCCTCTCGGGGCCTCCTGTTGCCTTCCGAAGCCTCCTGGCGTTTCCTCTGGCCTCCTGGGGCCTCCTGTGGCTTCCTGAGGCCTCCCGGAGCTTCCTGGGGCCTCCTAGAGCCTCTTGGGACATCCTGTGGCCTCTTGAGTCTTTCTGTGGCCTCCTGATACCTCCTGGGACCTCATGTGGTTTCCTGGGGCCTCCTGGAGCCTGTTGGAGCCTCCTGTGGCATCAGAATCTGTGCCCACGAGTCTGGCCACCGATTGAGACATCCTCAAAATCTGGCCCACGTGGGGGGTGAAAATGAGCGCTTCGCTCGAGACATCCTCCAAATCTGCTCCGAAAGCGAAGGATGTTGGAACAGAAAACAAGCAAACCGCTGGAGACCTCCCCGCAAAACGGCCGCAAACGGGACCGTGAGATAACCCCTGGCGGCTCCCCGTAGGCACCTAAAACTGAGCGCCTCGCTCGAGACATCCTCCAAATCTGCTCCGAAAACGAAGAATGTTGGGACAGAAAACAGGCAAACCGCTTGAGACATCCCCACAGAACGGCCGCGAACGAGACCGTGAGATAACCCCTCGGCGGCCCCCATTAGGGACGTGAAAATGAGCGCCTCGCTCGAGACATCCTCCAAATCTGCTCCGAAAGCGAAGGATGCTGGGACAGGAAACAGGCAAACCGCTTGAGACATCCCCACAAAACGGCCGCGAACGGGACCGTGAGATAACCCCTGGCGGCTCCCCTCAGGGGGAGCTGAAACCAGCGCCCCGCCTGAGACATCCTCACATTCTGCTCTGGTAGCCAAGGATGTTGGGACAGAAAACAAGCAAACCGCTTGAGGCATCCCCACAAAACGGCCGCGAACAGGGCGTGCGTGAGTCTCACCATGAGTAAGTCTGAGTAGGAGTAGGTCTGAGTATGAGTAGGTCTGAGTAAGAGTAATTTTGTGTGTGAGTAAGTCTGGGTATGAGTAAGTCTGAGTGTGAGTCAGTCTGTGTATGAGTAAGTCTGGGTATGAGGAGGAGAGGGGAGGAGAAGGAGAAGGAGGAGGAGGAGGAGGAGGAGGAGGAGGCGTCCAAGTAACAATATTCACTGCGTGGAGCTCCCCATATGTGCATCTACTCGCATGGACCTGTCCGCCGTGAATGTCTAGGCGCAAGAGCTTTCGAATATTAACGGGCTTCAGTTGTGACGGTCTGGACATCAATCAAACTGCGAATGAATTGGAGTGTGAATGAGCCTCAGTAGTACAAGCGCGTCTCTGTGCATGAGCCTGGGGCCTCCTGGGGCCTCCTGAAACCTACTGGGGCTTCCTGGGGTCTCCAGGAGCCTCTTGGGACCTCCTGGGACCTCCTATGAAGGTTTCGTGCCCCAGGGGAGGCGCAATCTATAGCAACAGACGTACATAAAACATTGCGGATTAGAGCCACTTTTTTGTACACACCAGGCAGCTCGTGCAGCACGAGCCGATCCCGCCGCCAAAATGGCGCGAGCCGCGGAGCGCGGCTGGGAGGCACCGCAAACAGCGGCCTCCACAATCAGCGTGCACGCCACGCTGCGTGGGTGTGCGCCGTCAGGTGAGGCAGCCACGCGAGCCACCTTCCACCCCGTGCCAGGCCTGAAAAGGCCTAGACCACCGAAGGCACTCCCCAAATCATTCACTCAGGCGCCTGCCCGTCTTCGGGTCCAGGCCAGCCCTGATGTTGGCAATCTTCAGGCTGCGCAGGCGCAGCGCGTTGCCAGAGGCAGCCACACACAGCCTGCCGAGCGACCTGTGCTTGCCGTTGAGCTCCTTGGCATAGGCCTTGCAGCGAGTGCAGATCCTGAAGCCGTTGATGCTGAGCAGCTCGTGGCCTGCCCCACCTGCTGCCTGAGTGCCAGATCCCTCGGGCGCGTCGTCCGACATGGAGACCTGGGCGACCTCGAGACCTGCACTTGCCTGGCCGTCGGCGGGATCCGCCTCCGCCCTGCCCTCGGCCTCGCGCGCAGCGCGGGCAGCTGCCGCTGCGCGCAAGAGGGCAACGCCAGGCGAAGGATCCTGGCCGCTGCTGCTGCTGCTGGCGCCACCGCCTGCCGCCGCCGCCTCGGGGCGTTGCAAATCCTGCAAGCCCGCAGCAGGATGCTCGCGGGCGGCGACGGCGAGCCTCGGCGCTGCCTGCTGGAGCTCGGCGTCGGGGTACGCCACGCGCTCGCCGACGTGAGCGCTCCTCGCCTCCTGCTCAAGCCTGTGCGCAGCCGCCAGCGCCACCGCCACAGCGCCTGCGGAAGCCAACGCCGACGCCGTAGGCTTGCGTCTCGTGCCACTTAAAAAACAAAAACACAAAAAAAAAACTAAAAAAAAAAACTAAAAAAAACAAAAAAAATAAACACTAAAATTTAAATATACAATAAACTCAAAAAAAAAAAATAAGATAAAAAAAAATAAAAAAAAACAAAAAACAAAAAGAATCACTAAAAAACAAAAAAAACCATAAAATATCTAAAAATAAATAACACAGTAAACCAAAGAACCTCAACACCGCGCACCAAGACCTCCACAACACCGAGCACAAAAGCCACGGGCGCAAACGGCTTGGCCACACACGGGTCCTTGAGCAGCCTCTTGATGCTGAGGTCCGTGTACGCCGTCTTGAGGCAGGCCCTGCAATGTACTCCGCCTCTCGCCACCTTGACGACGTTGTGCCTTGTGACGCTGAGCGGAGGCCCCTTGTGAACCGGCTTGCAGTTCGGGTCGATGTCCAGCTTCAGGTCGGCTGCCTCGCACCCCGCACGCGCAACCCAGCGCACAACACCGTCGAGGGTGAGCGAACGCCACTGCCAGGCTTCACGTAGCTCAAGCGGCGCCCTCACTGCAGCTGCAACCGCCTTCGCCGTACGGTCGGCCTCCCAGTTGCCTCGCCTGTCGCGTGCAGTGATGTCTCCGTTGCGGACCATGGCCGACGTGGCGTGCGCCTTCACTTTCTGAATCGTGAGCCCTTGGGGCCCAATGCCACCGAAGTCGTCCAGAGCTGCCCAAACACGCCTCCATACGCATCCCCAGGCAGAGGTCGCCTTGGTGGTGTTGGCCTCGCCCCTATCCAGCAGTCCCTTGGCGACGTACGAGGCGTCGAAGGCCGCAGTGATAGGTGGCAGGCTGTGGCGAAGAAGCGCCAGGCACCCCAGGAGTTCGGCCCCGTCGATGGACTGCAATGGCCCGGGCAATGGCGTGCCCAAAGCCTTGACGGCCGACTCGGGCCCTGGGTCCCAGTTGTCGTCACCATCTGGCAGCTGCACCATGCCGCAAGCCCCCACCGCCAGCGAGGACCCAGCCTCGTAGACCGCTCCGTCCGAGTAGACCGCGGTAGCGGAAAACGGGAACCCGTCGCCACCCTTGACCCACTGCACGTGCGCAAGTAGGTCGTCGCTTGGGGGACGCCACTCGTGGAGGGGCTCGGGCAAGATCAGCCTCTCCAGCAAGGTGTTAATGGTCACACTGGTGCTGAAGGGAACAAGCTTGCTGACCTCGGCAGGGAGCGCCAGGCTCGGCCAGCTGTCCTGGCAGGCCGTGCGCCTGTGCCAGAGGGTGCCAGGCTGGCCAGGGTGCAACTGGCAACATGGCGCGCGGGCGATCCTTGGGGCACCGCGGTACCTCCTGCTGTTAGGCCACTGCCCGAGGACGAAGACCGAGCGCGCGTACCCCCGCTGGCTGCTGTTGAGGGGCTCCCAGTCCTTCGCCAGGCTAGAGCTCCCCACACCCTTGGAGAACCAGCGCCGCAACTGCGGAAGGAAAATGCCACTACGAACGTCCTCGTGAGTGCCGTCTGCCAGGAGCTTCATCTGCCAAGCCCTTACGTCCAGCGTGATACATTGCTTGGCGTACCATGGGGAGACCTCAAGAAAGTTGATGATCGTACCGTTCGGCCTGACGATGCAGTCTAGCGCCTTGGGGT